GTTTGACTGGAGAAACAAATCCATAGACAGTCGTATGTGTGTAAGAAAGAGCTTATATCAAGCTTATGTCCACATCAAGAAAACAGCCCCGCCCAGTCCAGCTCAAGTCCACAATACCAGTCCATCAGTCCCTCTTCAGACCCACGCAGCCACGTGCAATGATGCAGCATGCAGGAGGGTCACAGGCTGGCGAGTGCAAGGCCCTGTGGATCCAATGGCAGTGGACGCATCAGGTCTCGGCGTGGCCTGTCAGCAGGAAGGTGGAGGCAGAGAGGGAGGGGGAGGTTCCCAGGACCCTCCTTATGAGGAGGCCACGCCCACAAGGAGGTGCCATCAGGCTGTGCCCTGATTGACAGGTTGGGTACCACCCCTGCCCTGCACTGTTGTCTATGTTTAAGTTGGCATGAAATTATGGAATGACCTCCTGACTCTATTGAGCTGCTAACCGCAAGGTCAGGGGTTCGAAACCACCAGCGAAGCTCCTTGGGAGGAAGATCAGGTTTTCTATTCTCCTAAAGAGTTATGCTCTTGGGAAGCGCGGGGCAGTCCGCCTCGGTCCTAGGGGGTCTCTGAGTCAGAACCGACCCGAGGGCAGGGAGTTCCTGGGTTCTCCCCACTCCCGGGTCTCAGCTCAGGGTTCCTCTCCAATAAGCCATCCCGAGCAGAGTGAACAATGGAGAGTAACAACCATTCCTCCCGTCCCCAGAGCACGTACCCCCACCCCCACCCCCCGCTAAAATACATGGACGAGTCCTGGGGCACAGGGGTGAAGCGCTTGGCTGTGACCGGAAAGGACGGCCGTTTGCACCTCGTCGCACGCAGTCCCTCGTGGAGAAAGCTGAGGGGTCTGTCTCAGCGGAGACTCCAGCCTCGGAGACCACAGGGTGGCCGGGAGTCGGAGGGACGTGCCAGCAGGGGTTTGGTTAGAAACTGGAGTGGGAACCCTCATCCACATAGGAAGCATGGAGATGAAGATTAGGCTCCACCCAGGCGGCCCGGACTTTCCACGGGGTCAATTCTGAGCCACAACAAGAACAGCTCTGCTCTGAGGCCCCCTTGGTTTGGGAGGGGGGGTGCAAGGAGGGGACGACAGGCCCCAAGCCAGGGAGCTCAGAGCCACCGGGCGATGACCAGACAGATCAACTGGTACCAGTTCTCGTCCACACCTGGGAGTTGGGGTGTGGGGAGATTCCCTGACGTAATGTATCCCAACCCAACTACAAAGTGCACCAACAGGCAGGGGGATGCGCAAGTCATGTGGGACCAATGAGGAGGCTCTCAGGGGGAGGGGAGAGTTGGGGTCTGGTCACCAAGGGGGTGTGTTCTGTGTCTCCCCAACACAGAACAGCTCCCTGGGGTTCGTCCTGAAACATGACCATGAGGCTTGAAGAAAACAAGAACTGTCTGATCGCCTGTCTCCCCAAGTTCCAGCCTAAAACAACCGGTGTGACCTCCTGCTCCCATGCTGTCTGCACCTCCCACCCCCATCCACACACTGCCCTGGAGCCCCCCCCATGCGCAGCTTCTGCAACACTGAGTGCCGGGTGGCCTGAGAGCGGGGATAGCCCTGGGCTCCGGGGACCACATTGGGAGGTGGAAGTGCATATAGGACGGAGGCCCCAGCTTGGTGGGCTCAATGCACAACAGAGGTGACTTCTTCGGGGTGAGGGTCCGTGGAAGGGCTGGTGTGGGTGTGGGAGACGGGTGTGGGTGCAGCAGGTCACCCACCAGGCAGGGCAGAGAAAGTTGCACCCCCCAGCCTGCTGGACCTACACTGCCCTGGCCTTGGGTGGAGGGTGGGGCTGACCTCCCATGTCCACCCCGCTCCCTCTCAGCTTATAGACAGAACACTGTGGGCAGGTCCTCTCCCATCTGGCGCCCAGGCAGGTTCCAGTGGCGGAGAGAGGAACCCCTGGGTCCTGGAAGTGAGCCCCAGGTCCAGCTTAAGCTCACCAGCTCCCCTCCAGTGCATCAAGTCCCCCAGAGGCTGAGACCTGGGCAGGGTGGTTGTGGGGGGCACTGCCTTTAGTCCTGCCCACTGTTCCCCCCAAAGCTGCATTGCCCTGGACCGGCAAGGTGGGTGGAGCGGGGGCGGGCAGCAGGGTGAGGCCGAATAGCCGCTCTCTACGCAGCAAGTCAGGCTTTGGACACACACACACACCCCTTCCAGGCCCACAGTGACGAGGAATTCATATAAAAGAGGCCCCAAAAGGGCAGGTCACCCCATGGGACGTGGGGGTAGGCAGGTTCCAGAGTACCTGCATGTGGAGACAGATGGCCACGCTACCCAATTCTACAGCTCTGTCACCTGAACCTGGACACAGGCAGGAAGGTGGGGGCTCAAGAAAGGGAACCCCAAAGTCCCTGTGCTTCCCCTGTCCCCCTGCATTCAACTGCAGTCCCCGCATGTACATCATCTTTATTTATGATTCCAGGACCAGGCCACCTTCCCAGGTTAAATACCTCCTGCAGGCGCATGTAGACAGGGGCGAATCGGCCCTCCCACAGGGCCCATAGCTGCTCCCTGAGGGGGTTGGCCGGGGGCTCCCAGGGCCAGGTGGGAGATCTCTGGCAGTCCCACCCTTAAGGCCCTCCTCCCTCCGATCTCCTCCCTCCTTTCTCTGCAGGGCCAGCGCCATCCTTCCCCAAGGGCAGACACTGCACTGCTAGGCCGTACCCCACTGCTATGCCAAACCCCTGTCTGTAAGCTTGCGCCCAGCCTCCACAGGGCTCTGAACCCAGGGCTGCCAGGGAAAGGGGGCGAGGGCACCGGGCCGTGAGAGGGAGCCACCACTCATCCCTCACGGTCCCCACGCTGGCTCTGCAAGGAACAAGAACAGAATGCTCCGAGGATGAGCTCGGGCCACAGGGGCCGGCGAGCTGCCAGGGCCAGGGGTCTGGGGCCAGGGTACAGCCTGCTCCGTCCTTCTCTGGGGTGGGGGAGGACGTTCTGGGTTTGGGAGGGACATGGGGACCTTCTGGGAAGCACATGTATTCCACCCCACCGACCGGGTGCCAAGCTCGGTGCCAGGTGCCTGCCGTGCCAGCCTTGGCAAGCACAGAGCCTGGCAAGGGGGACACAGGAAGCCCAGCTGCTGACCTTCAGGGGCAGAAAAGATGTCCTCAGCCTGCCCGGAGGAAAAGCCAGGAGCCCTGGAGCCCCTCCTCAGCTCCCACCCTGCTCCACACTGAGCCCATACAGGGGCCCATCCAGGCCCCATGGGGCCAGCAGCTTAACCAAGATCCTTTACCTGCTCCCTCCATGTCCACCCTCTCACCTGAGTAGCAAACAAAGTCCCAGTGCTGGAAGCAGGTAGCCTCGTCTTTATCTCACTGATGGCTTTGAACCACTGACCTTGAGGTTAGCAGCCCAGCACTAAGCCCACAGTGCCACAGGGTTCCCCCAAAGACAGCCAAGATGCTCCTGAGACCCAAGGGGTCCGAAGTGGTAGACGGGAACCCAACAGCCAAAGCACGAAACTGGGGGGGCGGGGGGGGGTGCACGGCCAGACGATGAGGAGAAATGGGGGCGAAATAGGTTCCCAGCGAGGCAGCCCCCAGGACGATGCCCAGAGGTGGCACCTTGCAAATCAGCAAGCCCTTGTTAGGTAAGGGATGACGAGAGAGAGAGAGAGAGAGAGAGAGAAGTCTGTCCAGGGAGACACCGTTCACAACAGAACCAT